ATCTCAAAGAATTGTACATACAAAGTAGGGGTAGAATTTCCCGGAGAGTGCTATAAAGTACATAATTTTTCGTTACCGATCTTTTTGGGAATCGGTATCAGAAGTTTCGAAATTTTCGGGAAATAATTGATCGAATTATAAAGAATTGTATATAAAACAGGGGTAGAATTTCCCGTGAAGTGCTATGAACTGTAGTTTTTCGTTACCGATTTTTTTGGGAACCGGTATCTTTTTGGAAATCGGTTACGAAATTTTTCTAATTTTTTAGGAAATAATTGAGTGAATCTCAAATTGTATACGACAGAATTGAACTTCAGTCGATAAAAAAGTAATATTTTTCAATTTATAGCATTTGAGAAAGAGAGAGAGAGAGAGAGAGACTATTTGCGTGTCTTATTACATATGTCTTCCGGGGCGAAACCCGGGTAACCAGCTAGTATAATATAATACATCTTTGTATAAGATTAATGTAAGACAATCGTGAAAGCGAGCGATAATTGATGTACGTGACGATATCGTTTTGAAATTCGTTTGAACGAACAACTAGGTAGGAATGACGTTCAGTAGAGGTATGACTTGAATTTATAAATAGTCAACAAGCGGTCAGAGAGACACAGTCTTACAGTACAATTAATACGATACATATAATATGATTTGCGATCGTTGAGTGATCGCAGTAGAACGACGAAAAAACTTAATTATACAGTCCACTAATAAACGAAGTATAACCATCATTGAGAATTTATTGCAAAGGAACCAACATTTTCTACAATAATCTATAACTATAATATAATATATAAAGTAAAACAAGAAAATGTTTAACATACCTTGTATGGTTTGGAGTTAGAATTAAATGACTGAAGGAGTAAATTTCCACCCTGGGAATATAATATCATTGAACAGTCAGGACTCCAGCTTGATGTTAATATAGGAAGGCTTGCTTTTACTAATGTAGATCGAAGCATACCACTGCGAGACCAGATCTTGATTAACCCATCCTCACCAGCTACAATCAACATTATATATTTTGAAACAATGAATTAATAACAATAAGATAATGTCGTACCTGTCAATAATGCAGAACCATCAAAACTCCATCTACCTACTGTGGTCGCACCTTTGTGGGCATCGATACTCTTTTCAATACGACCATTTTTATTAACCAAATGGTATTTTCCTAGAAATTGAACTTATTATAAAAATTTTTCCACCGATATGATTTTTCGAAAAGGTTAGTAAAAGGAAAAAAACGATCTTTTCATATAATCAGTTTTTTTTTATTAAGAAAATCTTATAGCCGTCTGTATTACCGACAAAATTACCATTTTCGTAAGTCTTTCTTCGCATTAATTTGACAGAATTGAAAATGCTCCTCCACAATTGCAGTACATATATATCAATGATTCCAGGGAACTCTTTTTTAGATAAAAAACCAGAAATAATTACAGATTTACAAATTTCTTTACCTATTTTTATCTCAACATGGCGTCTCAAGTTGTAAACAAGCTATCAACTCATCATAACATGTACTTCATATAACAGTTGCAGTTTGTACGAACATTGAAAACAAGTTCCCTGGGGTTGAAATACACGAAAGAACATTGTCGAATACTCCAAATCGAAATTAGGAGTCTAATATAAGAGTATAGTATATACTACGATTCGTGCGTATGTGTGTGTATCATAACCTTGTCTATCCTTGTTTATATCCTTGTGTATATAAGGACATATATAGGCCAGTAACATAGAAAACAATCGGGGACTTCCGTTTCCGGTGTGCGTGAGA